ATTTTCTGATGATGACATGTTTGATTCAAACTGGACAACGATGTTATAAGAAATCTATGACAGTGTAACAGTGGTTGCAAAACCCTAAAGAAAATTAGCTGTATATAAGAAACAGTGTTTATATGAAAAATACACCCAGCAGGGTGCTCTTCTCTATGACCCCTTCTTTGAGATCAAGAGATCCTCCTTGGTTGTTGCAAAGTTCTTTGTTTGGGTGTGCAAACCCAAACATTCACCATGCATATGAACTGTCTTTCAGCTTAATTTTTAATAAAAAAATTCCCCAGGATTCAGTTTTCTGACATTTAAATATATTTTATCTCGATGTATTATATGTTTCATATGTTTTCAGGTTCAAGAAGGAACCTGGAAATATTTGCAATTTTTATTCATATGAACATGGTTATAACTGGATGCTCTGTGGCCTCAGGTTTGGCATTTGTGTGCCATAAGAAAAGCCAGGGCACTAAGTAAGTGCCCAATATGGAAAGAGACAGATCACTAACAGGGCCTACACCCTCTTTCTCTGTATCATTGGGTGGCTTAGTAAGTAAAACAATTTAGTCCCATTTATTCTCCATTCCAGACCCAACCATGAGGCCATTGTCCTTGCAGAGAAAAGGCGAGGGATCCCTAAGCCCTACCATGAACTCATTCCGCTCAAATGTGCTCAAGCAGGAGAAGGGAACAAAAGAACACAGAGCATCTTGCTTCTTTTCCAAGGGTCCTAGTCTTTGGTGGATAAGAGGAAAAGAGATTGATGATGAATACCAAAGGAGACTTGATTGGACTATTTACATCTTAAAATAGATGGTCATAGAATGTGCCCAAGACAGCATTAAAAGACCCTGGAGCAGTGCAGTGAATGGAAAAAATTGAGAATGAATAAGGTATTACTTCATAGAATTGAGGCTGCTCATCTGTCTGTCGTAACTTCTCAATATAACGTGTATGTTTTGTAAATATATAAAATGTTCCCTTCTACTCAAATATCCTCCTAGTAACTCGATCGCTATCAATTTGCAATTCTCTTCCACATTCTCTTTTAACCATGCTACAAAACCCTGGGCTTGTGCCGTATGACTTCTGTTTTTCTTCTCTTATAAACACTAAGCTACACCCATATTCATTTATACCGCCTTTCAACATGACGTCCTCTTAGTCAAGGATGGATGTGATTAATGGCCTAAATACTTGCCAAGAACCTTTATAGGAGAACATATCTTCGCTTTCCTTATTCTGTTTTTGAAATTAGAAAGCCAAAATTTCAGAAAATGTGAAAGACAGGACATGTAATCATGATATTACTATAATAATTTTGTAATACAGGAATTCAATAGCCTAAGCGTACTAAATCAATTGCTAAAAATTCCTGTATGACAGGAACTCTATTGACTTTTCTTGATACTTTTAATTTTGAAAAAAACTTGTTTGTATTTGCTTTTATTCATATTTATTTAGTAGCATTCTTCCAGGCTAAGGACCTACTGCAGTCAACAAATCTCAGGGAGCAGTTTATTTATTTCTTATATGTAAAGAACAGTACCTGTGTATGTAAAACTGTTCCTTAAAAAAGGCAAGGTTAAGGCTAAAATGTAAATACAATGGACTCTTGATAACACTGGCACCCTCCTGTGAGCACTGTGTCTAACTGTGTGCTGGATATTTTTGGGGAGTAGATCTGTGGGACGTCTGCCTGCATGTGCCCTCGCATAGTCAACCGCTGACCCCTTCCTTTTTCAGCGGAAGCTCAGTCAGCAACAGGAACATGGGTGCCCCACCAGCAACAGGTACATGGGTGTTTTGGTTACTAATCTTGCATTCTTAAAACAAATATGATTTGATTAAGTATTAGCCCTTTTATGTTGCTGGATTCTCTTAGTCAGTATTTTATTTAGGATATTTGCATAACTTCGAGAGACCCTGGGCTGTAATTTACTTTGTTTGTATTGGTCTTGTCAGAGTTTGCCATCAAAATTTTATAAAACAAGTTTCTTTTCTCTGGAAGAATTTATGTAAGATTGTGTTTATTTCCTCATTAAATGCAGAAATTCAACAGTGATAACTGAACCTAGGGATTTTCTCATCGAAAGGTTTTAAATTATGTATCTAATTTCTTTTAAAGACATAGGACTGCTCAGAATTTCCATTTACTTTTGTATTCATTTAATAAGATGTGTTATTCTGGGAATTTTCCGTTTCACCGAATTTTTCAAATTTTTTGCCATAAATGTGTGCATAATATTCTCTGCTTATATTTTTAAAATATGTAAGATCTAACATTTTTAGCTTTCGTTCTCACTATTTTGAATTTGCTTTATAATGCAATGATTTTCCTTTTGCAATCTACTAAAATACTTCCCTCTGCTTGCTTCCTGTTTGATCTGCTGTGAACTTTGTAGCTTATTTATATGGAAACTCAGGCCACTGATTTTCAGTCTTTCTGTTCTAATTTACTTGCATCCCACAAAGTTAGGTATGTCAAATATTCACTATTACTTATTTCAAAAATGGTTTTAGCTTTTTCTGTGATTTCTTTATTGACATGTAGACTTTTTCAGCGGAGTTTTCTGCTTCATTTTCAAGAGAGCTCAGCATTTTAAGTTATCTTTTCATTGTTTGTGTTCAGCATCTTAAGATTTAAATATATATAAAAATCATATATATGAATATATATATAAAATCTATCTGTGATAGTCCAGGTAATAAGCTATCCAGGAGACTGTTTCTATTGTCACTAGAGTGAAATAATTTTAATCAATCAGGGCCTGACTGAGCTGTCTGGGTTGTCTTGGAGTTGTACTAACAGTTTTCATTTCACTGCAGCTAGCCAGGGGTGCTGCTGAGAACCTGGGGCCTTGCCAGGTTGTCTCCCACTGGGAGAATCCAAAACTTCTGGTTCTGTATCTTCTCCAGCAAACTCCTTTTCAATCTCCAGTTGCTTTCTGCCTACCTTCTCAGTTCTCTTTGTAAGAAGCAGTTGCAGGCATCTGGCTCACCTGAAACTCCTGTTGGGATCTGGACCCCATGAGTTCTGAGTGGTAGATTCTGTTCTGTGTCTTCACATATGCTTTTTTGGTGGGCTTCTGTTCAGCTTTTTCAGCTTCTTTTAAGTGAGTGTATACTGCAGTCCTCTATTCGAGCCAGAAACAGAAACTTTTGCTTCCATTCTTCTTTGCTTTTCCTTTTTCTTGAGACAGGGTCTCACTATATAGCCCAACCTAGCCTTGCAGTAATCCTCCTACCTTTACATTTGGCTGCTTTTGCTTCCGTTCTTGCTTTTCTATAACCCATCTCATTCAGAGGAGTAGAAAGAATTTTACAGACTTTTAACCAGAGCATGATTCCCTATTAAAAATACTCGAATGGCTTCTTATCACCCTTAGAATTAAATCCCAACTGGTCTGCATGGCTGACCAAGTGTGGATGGATCTAGTGAACACTTAAAAGATTGTAGTTACACAAAGAAGCTAAATAGAAACACCAGCAATTAAAGAGGCTTGATATCTGTATTTGGAGTACCCCTGTAGAGGGTACCTTTAGACCTTAAAATAAAACAAGGACTCCTAAAAGCAGATTCTTGGAAATATCAAGTGGATTGAGCCTGGAGCACGGTGTTTGCTAACCTTTCCCTCATTCTCTCAGCCTCTGCCTTTCAAAGCTGGGTACCTAGAGCTTCGTGCCTGAATAAATGGTGGCGCACACCTGTACTTCAAGCACTCTGGGAAACTGAGGCAGGAAGACTGTAAGTTCAAGACCAGCCTGGATAACTTAGTGACTTAGCAATACCTTGTCTCAAATTTTTTAAAATTGTAAAAACGGGGATGTAACTCAGTGTGAAGGTCCTGGATTCAAGCCCCAATATGGGGCCAGGGGAGATTAGACAGACAAGACCTTGCTCATAGAGTTTGTATTTTAATGAAAGAAGACAAAAAATAATGAACAATATTACTCCAATGGAAGATAAGGAATGTGAAGTAAATGTCGTATTTTTTAATGAGCTGCATGATAGAGAGGTGGTTCCCAAGGCCTCCCTGAGCTGCTCACATGAACTGAAAGCTACACATGCAAAGACTGGGTAGAACTGGGCAGCACCTATAAGGGCTGAGGATCATGAGCTTGGGGCCCTTTACCAAGTAGGAAGGTCACATCTCCATCCAGACTCAGCAGATGAGGACAATCTGAAGTTCGAATCCAGGGTAACTGCTCTCTTAAATTTGCAAAACCTATTTTCTGGCTGAGTTGGAATCTGAATCCAGTGTTGTGTGACTACAGACTTGTACTTCTAAACCCTGCATCCACTCTCATGCCCTCAGCCTCCCAGTTCAGCCACAGACTTCAGGTTGTGTCTTTAAATTAAGCTCACTGGCTAGGCAGCCACAGAGGTTGTGACGACTTTCCGCATGTTCTCTAGAAGAGGACTGTGAGGTTGAGCCTGATGTGGTACTTTGGTGAAGAACTTCCTAACTCCAGCTGGCAGAGGAGACACATTCAGGAGTGGAGAAGGGCTCTCATTAGACCAAATCACCTACTCAAGACCAACAAGCTGCAGGGCACTGTGAAAAGACGCGATAAATGGTCAGCCTTCATAGCTATGGAAACCAAGCTACCTGCAGCCCAACAAGGATTATTCTCGGGGTTACTGATTTTCCAGCCCCAGGAAGTTGATGCTTCTGAAATCTCTGGACCTGATGCATAGGGCCATATTTACAATTGCTCGAAGGCCATGAACATGGGAAGAACTATGGAGAACTGAACGCTCAGATCACAGTGCTTCTCTTACTGCCTGCAGACTCAAAGTGTCTACTCAAGTCCTAGCACTGTCCATAAGGACTGGATGCTGATCCCTCAGAACTGCAAAGCCGCAACCTGGGAGACCACAGCTCCAAAGACCAAGAGCCTCAGAGCCGGGGGCTCCATGATGGGAAGACTCAAGAGCAGGTACATGTTGGTCCTTTTGTGTCGTCCCTCAGGCTTCTCTCCAGGGCCCCAACACTCACCTCTGCCTGCCAGATGGGGTTCACGGTGTTGCCTATGACCTTGGATCTCCTCTCCTGCCCATGATGAGGGAGGGCAGGGAAGATGCTGTGCTTCCCCGGCTGGATGGAAATCTTCAGATACGGGTCTGGGTTGAAAAACATCCCTTTCTTCAACCCCATGGCCTGAAAATCTAGAAATAAAGTACATTTTATTGAAGTATGTTTTAGAAGCTAAAGATCACATTAGGCTCCTTATACTACCTCATTGCAAAGCACATTAGGCTTCTTTCCACCTCACTGCAAATATAGCAATGTGTGTGCAACATGGAACATTTATTGGCACAAATCAAGTTGTATTTTAGTGAGAGAAATTCTGGTAATAAATCAGTCTAACTGGGACTATGGTCACTACATTTTGGACTGTTGAGAGGACTACTGGCCCTTACTGTGCTGGATTTCTGCTGGTCCTCAGGAAGGGCTTAAAGTGGTCAGGGTGAGGAGTTCAGGGTCACTGAGAAAGGTGGAGGGCACAGAGGGAGGGAACCCAACTTAGGAAATTTGATGGTGTGAAATTTCAGGTGTGAAATGCCTCCACATTTAGACCTAAGAAAAACAGAGTTTCACAATAAATGTGTACTTCACTGAATAGGGAGAAACACAAAGAAAGGAGAGGGTTAAAGAGAAAAGAGCATGGAAATGATAGAAAGAAAAAGAAAATAAGTCCTCCATGGAGCTTGGTGTCTATCGGTGGAGACAGCTTTGAGAATCCATGCTGCCAGGATGTGCAAGACATTGGCAATTTAAACTGTTTGATTTACGAGGTCTTATATGAGGGGTGGCGGGGAGCGAGGGAGAGAGTATAAGAATGAATAACACCCAAGAAGTCATAGTGGTTCATAGTTTTTCTGGGATCATTTAAACTACTTTGTATGTATTGGAAAAAAGTTCATGATATTGGCAAGGAATATAATTTTTAAAGCTTTTCTATTATTGAACTGTCTTTTAAACAGGATTATTCACATTTATATTCAAGTGAAACAAACTAAGGCGAAGATACACTGAATTGGTGATACTCAACTATGGTACAAAGTGTAAGGCATTTAAATAATGTTTTACCAATGGGGGAGAAATCAATGTTTTCATGTACATTTACTTAACAGTTATTCTGAGTGGATTCGATACGATCTCCATAGTGAAATGATCCTTACTGACTTGCATTATGGCATATTACCACAAGAGGGGAAAAGGCAGAAAGAATAAGCATCACGGCAATTTATAAAACTCAGGCTAGGCTCACAGGAGTGCTTGCAGAAAGAAGTTAACAGTGGCAGGCTGAGACTACTTGCTTGTTCATATGGTGGGCTCTTATTAAGTTCTGGGAATGTAGATTTCAAGTTCTCACCTCCTTAGAATTGACAAGAGTGGCTGTTGGTGTAAACTTGTGGTTTACTGTGGACGCTGTTTTCCTCCTGGGAGTCTGGAATTTGGTACACTTAACATAAGATAACCACCCACATAACCTGCGTAGCCCTCCTAGTAGCAACCATAGCATGGAGTCTCTGATAAGCTTTCCTGGTAGACAGCATTTCACACAGGGGATCACAGCTTGGACTGGGGTGGTTTAAGTATGTGCTTCAGGCCAAATGTCTACTCTGGCTGTATTTTAAAATGGTTTTAAAAATTGAGATTTGTTGAGCAGAGGTTTCTTTATATACATCTTTTTTCTTTTTAGAACCTGATGGTAATGTAAGGACTCATCATCATCATCATCATCATTGGCTCAGGAAAATTTTTCTTCTATTGTTTCTGTCCATTTACTTTGATTTCTTCACCAAAAACACTGATCCAGAGTTGACTCTCTATGTGTTATCCTTCTTTTCCTCCTCCTAAGCCTTCCCCTGTATTGACTTTACTTATGCATGCTAGCAGTGACTATTATACTAGGTGACCATATAATTGATTCCAAATCTTAGTAGATGGAGTTTTATCTTGCTTCCAAGGACCCACTTTTAATTCTGCGATTGCACTTTTCATTTTAAATCTTTCCTTGACTGTAGTGGACAGAAAAATGACTCCACAAAGATGTTTATGACTTAATACCTGGGGCCTATGAATATATTACCTTCCTGGCAAAAGGGACTTTCAGATGTGATTAAGGGACTTGGAATGGGGTCATTTGCTTGAATTACTCAGGTGGATTCAGTTTGATCATAAGGGCCCTTGTAAGAAGGAAGTAGGAAAGCAAAGTGTAGAGAAGGACAGATGACGATGAAGAAGAGATCAGATCTGTGCAGCCATGAGCCAAAGAATGCTAGCAGCATCTAAAAGTTGAAGGAGGCAAGGGAAAAATCTGCACTGGTGCCCACAGAAGGGATCAGCCCCTCAAGATTCATTCTGGACTTCTGACATCTAGAACAATGAGAATACAATGGTATTGGTTTCAGCCACTGTTTGTGGTCATTTGTAATAGCAGCAGTAGGAAACAAATACACTTGGCTTTCTAAATTTTTATTTCTTCCAGCTTTTTAGAACTCTTATATCGTCTTTCTCATCTTAGCTATCTTACTTGTATGTTGCTCACTTTCTTGTATTTTATTTGTGGTATAAGCTTGTGACTGATAAACACTTCATTTATTTTTAGTACACGCCTGTCAGTAAGAATACTACTTTTTAAAATCTTGTGTTTATATTCCTCAATTTACACATTCTTTCCCCCCATACTCTTCAAATCAAGATTTCTGTTATTCATGCATGAAAAGGTCTTTTAGTCTTGATGTCTGTCCATCTTTTGTTTGGTTGTTCAGCTGGTTGCTGTTGGAATCCTTATCCCTGCTTTGATACTTAGAGCCAACCAGTGTCTAGTGAGCTTTCTGATGCTTGATAGGATTTCCTTAGTTATAGGTTAGCTGATCTTTTTATCTTGTCTTTCTTTGAGGTAATGGAATTTATTTTGACACTTTCAGAAGTACTTATTTTTTGCCCTAAACAAACAAAATGAATTAGACACACACTGACATAACCAGTTGCTGAGTATTGTATTTTCATGAGCATTTCAAACTACTTCCTTTCTCTGCTGATTTTGTGTCCCAGCCATAATTCATTGCTGTGAATTGTCTTGGAATAAGTGGAGGATTGTAGGAGATGAGCAGATGTCCTTCACTTTATCAAGTAACTTTATGAACCATTTTGGGGTGAAGGAAGTTTCCTTGCCTTTGATAGGTCTATGACTCAGGACTCCATGGCAGAGGCAAAATTGAGACAAAGGACCGGAGACTCTGTCTTTTCCCCAGCTTGGTCCTGCTGTGCAGCTATGTGGCATCCCTCTTGGGTTATACTGGTGCTTGGTTTCTGGCACATGGTCATGTCGTATTCCTAGTTCTTATTGCTTTTGCAGACTAGTACTACTCGATTGTTATTTCTGAAGTACTTCAGCAGAAATATACAAATGGCAAATCAGGGGTTTTTAGCTTTTGCCCTAGTAATACAAAATCATTGAGCTTTTTCTTCTTCCCCTCCTGTGTCTGCTCCTGAATCCTAGACAGATACATGCTCACGTTTTCTATGCATCTTTAGGTACCTACGTGGTCTACTGGGTACACTTCAACTTGAAAAGCCCCAGCTGACTGTCCATCCAGCCCCAGAGATTCTGTGTGTTTCATGTCTGTGGCTCCTGATTACTGATATTCATGACAGGCCACACTGGTTGGTTTGACAAGCTAAGGTTGTAGTTTCAAATGGTGTTCAGTGGATACCTTGGGTTTTAGCTGTCGTGTTCTCTTGAGGATGACTGAGGTGCCCAGAGCTTCATGTATCATTTTAGCTAAAGCAACTCAATGTTCTTTTAAACTTTTAATTTTGAAATAATTTTATATTTACAAGAAAGACCCAAAGGTGATACAAAGCTTTTCTCATACCCTCTACCTTGTTTGTTTCTTTGTTAATGCATTATAGAAACATGGTCTGTATACAAAAATGAAAAATTAACTTTAACTACTAATTAAACTACTATTAATGAAACCGACAGATTTCATTTGGATTCCACGGATTTTTTTCCATGACTGTGATTTTTTTGAGCAGCCCAGCATTCATCTGTTTTACCAATCATTTTCTACTAGAAATTTTGTTTAGACATGAGTTGGATAGCTGCATCTATCCCTGGGGTTTTCCCAACCTTCCCTGTATAAACTCTTACTTCCTACTACATGGTCTTTAGGAAAAACAGAATAGCTCCCTCTCCTATCATCTCAAAGTACTTTCTTATTGATTACAAACCTGAATTCCTTCTTAGGTCAAGGGAAACCTAAGCAGGTTTAAAAATTTTTTGTAGTACTGGAGATTGAACCCAGAGCCTTTGCACTGAGCTACACCTTTCATCTTTTTTGATTTTGAGACAGGGTCTCAATAAGTTGCCAAGGCTGGGCTTGAACTTGTGATCCTCCTGCTTTTGCCTCTCACAGTGCTGAGATTACAGGTGTGCACCACTATTCCTAGCAGAGCTGGCAGTTTTTATTTTTACTTTACAGATGGAAAAACTGAGGCACAGAGAGGCAGAATAACTTGTAACTTGTGGGTTGAACTGAAGGAGGCCTCTTACTCTTGGTTGACATTCTTATTCTCTCCACAAGGCCCTCAGGTAACACATACCTGAGAGAGAAAAGCTGATCAGTCTCCGACTTCCTTGCCCTTGGACAGTCTCATCAGATCCAATGCCTTTAAAAATCTGTAAGAAGAAGGAAAATGGAAGACAAGCAAAACCAGCATTGAAATGGATACTCTCACTCCAACACAAATAGGCTTAATCACAGTTATTTCTTAGCCACAGGCAAGGAAGAGAGCAGTGTTGTGATTTCATTGGACAACTATCGATTAAAACGAGCTCCTAGCAACTGAACATCTTTCCCAAGAATAGAGGATGTGCTAGTGGGAGTGAGGGAAGCTTTCCAGAGAAATAGAAATCAACAAACATAATTACTCTAATCTTATGGGCCTTTTATAACCACTTATGAAAACAATGTCTTTTCAGATTCAAATTTGCAAAAAATATTAAGGTAGCGCCTAAAGTAGTAGAATGATAAGTCCATAGATGTTTACTGTTGTAATTACAATGTGTTTCCATTTAGCAAGGTGCAGTGTTAAATTGCTGGATCTCCACTTAGTACTATTATTTAGGGATTTCTAGGAAACTCAGTTCATTAGGGAAGAGCATAAACAATAGCATTAAGAAACTACACAGAATTCTCTCTTATTAAATGAGTTGTCTCCCTGGGAAATTTCAGAACATAATTGCTACCAGAGTTATCTTTAGTCTAGTGAGTATTTGCAGATCCAATTGCTGATCGTTGCTCAATATGTGTTAACTGGTTAATCTAAACAGCTAGCCTTTGATTCCATTCTTCTCTAGGAAGATTGCATTCAAAATTTATTTTGAGTATTTATTCCAAGGGAGAATAAGGCTCTTTAGTTATCTGTGAATGTGTTGTACGTTTGCAGAAAATAAATTGTAAGATCTAAATATCAAGCACAACCACACAATGTCTACTTCTTAGAAGATAATCTGTACCCAAAAAGGAGAAAGTGAAGAATTCCATAAGCACTTATTGAAATCCTTTTTTGGAGAGTGTGTGAGTTCATTCTTTCTTGTATTATTTCAGTATTCTTGACGACGAATATTCTCAGTATTCTTGATTGTGAGTGGATGTTCCTATCAAGCTCCTGTGCTCAATGACTGGTTATCATTAGAGCTCACAGCTTCAGCTCAGGGGAACATGAAATGATTTTTGGACCACTTCCTCCTGCCTCAACAGGTACTGCTAGTGAGCACAGGAGCTTGGCTGCAGCTTTGGAAGCACTTGGCAAGCTCAAGTGTGAGCTGCACCACTGGGATGCTGGGCTGCTCAGCAGAGAGAACCGATGTGGGTTTCAGCTTGGCATCAAGTAAGGTAAGAGCCTGTCAAACCCTCTGAAAGATCTCTGTCTGCTGCAGGCTCATTTGTCATGGACAAAGAGTAAGGCACGGCTGGGATGAAGCCTTAGCCATCTGCAGCTTGGAGAGTCTGTGTTTGTTCTTCCCATTGATTGGCTGACACAGAGCAGCATTCAGCAAATAGCTGTAGCTCCATCCTCAGGCTCGATCACTCCCTTAACTCTGGAAGGGTCCAGTCCTGATGGGCATAACTGTACATTTTTCTTTATTTTCAGAACTCTGGCTGGACAAAGGTGGTGGGAGACACGGGCTGCCTGTCCACATTCCTTTACAGTGCTGCATGTGCCCACTGGGGACAGTTAGAATCAACTGTTAAAGTCTGGTCTCTAATTCCAGCTTTAAAAGGCCTGCATCTAGCTCATCTTCTTCTTAGAATATAAGTTCTTTGAGAGAACAACACAAATTATAATTTTAATAGAGCCTTGTAGAATGAGATCTAGAGTATGTGGATTCTAATTATATATATTTTCTAAAAGGCATGGAATTAGATTGTGTATCTCATCCTGGGCTACAATCAGCTTCAATATGCAATGATAATACAGGATAGTAGATCTATTTATTCCTTTTAAAAGCATACATATTTTGCTTCTTTACATTTAAGTATTCCTAAGCTAGCTATTCTGAGTACTTACAAAGGGTTTTAAACATTACTGCATCAAAAACAGGAGGAAAGAGTGGGGAAAAGTTGATCTATGAGTAATAAGTTACAGTTAGATGAGAGTAAAATGTCCCTTATTCTATTGTCTAGTAGGCGGACCTCAGATGATGTTATAGTACAGAATATCAAAAAGCTAGAAGAAAGGATTTCTGCATGTTTTCACCATAATGATAAATGTTTGAGGATACCGGTGTATTTACCCTGATTTAAACATTACACAATATAGACATGAATCACATAGTACTCTATAAGCATGCGCAGTTTTACATTTTTATGTCAGCTAAATTAATTCAAGATTTTTAAAAAACAGGACTATAAATAGAAAAAAAAACAGTGTATTTTTCAGAAGCTACTGAACTGGGAGGTGAGACACACATCATTTAAAACTCCATAAAATTCTACCTAAATTCTTGTTTTTTTTAACTAGTCCTTTTACAAAACCATCTAAGGCCTAGACTGGTGGTAGGAAAATGGAGGCCAGAGAACTGTGGTGAAAATCTTCCAGGACAAAGAAATGTTGGTCCAGTCTTAGGAAGGTTTGACTTCCTAACTTCCTGTTTGAGATGAGTGGCAAACGCATGTCTGAGACTGAGGAAGCTGCTCCTTGCAGACAGACTCTCCATGTTTTGGTGACTGGGAAAAAGACATGAAGACTCAACCATAATAGTCCTACCCTCGAGCCACCTGAGGCAGGGCATATCATGGAGATCTCTTGTTTTCCCAGGTCCGATGTGGTCCCTTTGCTTTGTGGCTTCTGTACTCTAAATATTCAGCCTTGGGTTAGGTTGCTGCTTTGTCTCAGATGCAGCTCTGGCAGTTTCTCTGTGGATGTTTTACACACAGATGTTTCTAGGACAAAGCCTGCTTGGCAAACGGTGTGACAGATTCCAAACTGAATCTGTTGGTAGTGTGCAGAAGGTTCTGTAAGATATTGGCAAGGGTCTTAGAGCTGCATTAAGGGCTTTGGGGTTAAGTCAGGTCTGTGTCTCCCACTCCCATTCTCCTGTTCTCTTTTGGAAAAGCTGTAAGTATGAGTTCACACCACGGTCACACCCTCCCGAGAGTGCAATTCAGCAGAAGAGTGACGATCATTCTTTTTACTCTTGTAAGGGACTTCTGCGTCAGCAGTATGAAGACTTCTAGCTCCCTCAGCCTTTGCTCTCCACTACATTCAAAGTCTACCGTTCCTTTATAGAGTATCACTGTACGATAGATGAGATTTTCTTTAAAAAAAAAACACCAAAAAACCAGTGGTGTCCACTCACACAAGTCTATTTGCACGTTGGTCTACTTCCTCTACTTTCCAGCCTCCTACGACTTCTCAGATGCTCCCCTTCTCATTCCCAGAGAGGTGCAACCGGGTTTAAGAATGCCTTCCATGGGTGCAAAATTCATAATTTGGGGTAAAATTTTTATTTGAGAAACAAACACAAGGAAATATAAAGTTGAAAGCAAAATGTGCATGGGCTCTGTAGGTTAAGGGAGGTTTTGAAGAACTCTTTGAGTTGCTTCCCCAAATCACTTTAGTCCTGGGGTTTCTTCCTTCAGGCAAATGGTGGAGTTTCTCCTGTAGTGCACTTGGCATTTCCTGTAGGACTGTGGCCATGTCACGCTCAACTGAAGAAGTAACTTGACTTCATACCCATAATGATTTGAGAATAACTACAGAATTCTTTCACTCTTACAAGTGTCTAGTTACAGAAAAATTAAATCAACAAAAATGCCAGAAATTGCAATTCATGACTTCCTCGATCCTTTATCTATTCACCTGTCCAGATAATTCTGACTTGCCTATCAATGAAAAGTACAATTCTCCATGATTAATAGCAGCATCTAAAATTCAGATGCAAAGCCATGTTACATTATATAAAACAAAACACCCAAGCTGTAGCAAACCATCAATCTGCAGCAGAGAATTATGAATTCTTCTTTACATATGAGATTATAGGTTCTCCTAAAATTCAGTACATTTGCCTCCAAGAGAGTGTCTATTAATCTGGTATGCCTTGAAGCCATCTTAAAAAAATAAGATCTGACAGATAAATGAATAAAAAATGTTATATATAGGGAAAGAGAGAGAGATTCCCTCAGTGTCTCCCCTTAGTACTTGTGTGGGCTTTTTGGCTGGATCTAGGCCAAAAGAATATAAGAGCTGGTCGACAAGAGAAAAGCATAAAATGTTTATTAAATTTACATATATGTAAGAATTTCATAAGAAACAGAAATTGGAAGAAATGATAAAAGCCTGATAGGTTTATACTTTTTAGACAGAGCGTAATAAATCTGTGAAGGAATGAGAGGAGAGATGGAACTCAGGACTAAGAGTAGTAAATTCCAGTGATGTTACTGAGAGATCTGGAAGAGTGGGGGAGACTGCAGAGGCTCATACAGATGAAGGCTACTTCAGAGTTCATGTCAGGCTCACTTTGGCCACAGTCACCAGTCTTCGGCTGCTTTCCAGCCTTGGTATATGAAGGCCATGCCTCCTGAAAGAGTCTTAAAGGCTTGCCACATGTAGGAAAAGACAGCCCAAATGGCCTTTCTGAAGTTATCACCTTTCTGAAGGTGATTTCACCTTGAAACAATTAACATATCAATTAGGTATATTTTGAGATGGCTCATCATTAACTCCTTCCACACAATGAAATATTCAGCCATAAAAAAGAGAATGAAATTCTGTCATTCACAGCAATATGGATGGAGGTGGAAAACATCCTGTTACTAAAGTCAGGCAGGCTCAGGAAGACAAACACTATATATTGAAGCAAAAAGTTGATTTCACACAATTAGACAGAATGGTGTTTACCTAAAACTAGAAGGGTATAAGGGAGAGATAAAGGGTTACGGGCAGAGGGGTGCAGCTGGGTAGGAGGAACAACTTCTAGTGTTCTATAGCACCACAGAATAACCATGGTTGACAGAAATTAATCGGATTTAAAAAAGAGTAGAATTTTGAATGTTCCCAACACAAAGAAATGATAAATGAGGTGACAGATATGCCAGTTATCCTAATCTGATTATTATACATTGTATACATGTTGAAATGGCATTCTTTACCCCATCAGTATGTATAATTAGT